GTGTTCCAACAACTGACGAAGGGTGAACACATGATCAATGCATCCACGACCTGAACGAAACCCAACCTGTTCTTCGCGAATCAATCCCTCGCGTATTTTGCACAGCCTGCGAAGCAAGACAGCAGCCAATATTTTAGACGCGACTGGTAGCAGACTGATACCCCTATGATTGTCACACGAATTACGTCGACCCTTTTTAAAGATGGGGATGATAATGGCTTCGTTCCACATACCTTCCTGAACAACCCAGTTAGAGCCATTATGAGAGTCTCGCCACCATCTTTAAGAGGAGCCGGGGATAAATTGTCTGGGCCGGGCGCCTTATGGCGTTCCAACACTTGGAGTTGTTTACGGACCTCCGCTTCGATGGGTGGGTCGGTACTAACCGACCAAGGAGCACTGGGGCTAATGACAGTAGACACTGAAGCCGGTGGCCAGCTAAACTGTTTCCCGAAGTGCTCTGTCCAGCGTTCCAAGCGTCTTTTCAAGCTGGTAATTGGAGTGCCATCCGCCCCACAAACCATCTCGCTGACACCTTGTTCCTTGCTGCCGGCGGCTCGGATGTGTTGGAGCAGCTTCCAACTGTTGCCAGCTGCAGCAGCTGACTCCATCTCACACGCACGTTCTGACCACCAGGCTTCGCGATCCTTACGTAAACACTGTCTTATCTTGCGCGTGAGCGCCTTTTGCTTATTGTTGTATTCGCTGCCAGCCGGAATGGACCGCCGTTCATACAGGAGTTGCATGGAACTCGCAGAAACCCAGTGGTTTTCAGCGGAGCATTCTTTCAAGCTGCAAGCGGCTACACTCGCCCTTTGCATGGCACCTTGCAGATGAAGCCAATGTTCATCTAACTACTTGAGGGGCTGCTGACAAGCATTGATTGTAACTCATTCTGATATTTCAAAGAAGTAGCAGGTGCTACTAGTTTGCTCACATCAACCTTAAGACGACGGCTTTTATGAACCGTGGCAGCAGGATGATCAATCTTATTCCAAGCTTGCTTCGCAGAGGGTGGCATAACGGCGATGGCTGTGCCATTTTTACAATGGTATACAACTGCAGTGGAGCACATAGAGCTTCAACAACATATTGCTATTTCACTCTGTCCTCTGCCATCCTTTTTAACTGCCACTAAGACTTTAATTGTGTGTCGGTGGCATAGCGGTTAGGACGCTCGCCGACCATGCACATGGTCCGAGGTTCGATCCCCGGCCGACGCACTCCTTAACCTCGCTAGGCCAGAAATAATCCTGGCAAAGAGGAAAGGTTGGGCATGAGGCTAGCAATCCCATCCTGTAAAATAAACACTGCTACAGAAACTTCAAGCCACTAGCTTGAAGTCCTATGTCCCACTGGGGAACGTGAGGGAAAAAAACCTTTGATTGGTGGATGGTGACTAGCAGTGGAATCCAAGATGCGCATTTCGTCCTATTTGGGACTCGTTAGCTGGATGCACCTGCATTTCTCAGTGAGTGATGGTGTTCCCGCCGAGGCTCGAACCCAGTGCCCATAGTTTCAAACGCCAAAGCGTTATCCACTAGACCACTTTGGCCACGCGAGCCACCTCTTTTGCAACAGGTCACATTGATTTAATTGAATTTTTGATTTTCCCGTCGATTGATTGAACCGAAGTGCTCGGTCTCAGGTTGATATGTCGGCTTCTTGAGCAGATGCCAAGTGGTCTAGTGGATAACGCTTTGGCGTTTGAAACTATTGGCACGCGGTTCGAGCCTCGGTGAGAATATCATCACTCACTGAGAAATGCAGGTGCATCCAGCCAACGAGTCCCAAATAGGACGAAATGTGCATCTTGGATTCCACTGCTAGCCACCACCCACCAATTAAATACTAATTCAATGCCTAGACATCGTCGAAGCATCTGCACAAGAAGCCGATATGTCAACCTGAGACCGAGCACTTCGGTCCAATCAATCGATGGGAAAATCTAAAATTCAATTATATGCCACTAAGACTGTTCACAAACTTTCAACTCTATATAGTCACAAAATCTCCAAAATGTTATCCTCAGATCCTCAGCCAATTCGTGTCTTCCTCCTCGAGGGTTTGGTGAGTAACGTCAACCAATTACCTCCTCACCGTATGTCTAACCCGCCAGAATTTTCGTATGGTAATATGTTCCTGGTTTATTCGTCGTCTGTTAGAGTCCCTTAATGCTTATTTCTCCCGGTCAGCCGATTTCCAGTATGCAGCAAAGGCGACTATTGATGAAAGTCTACAATGGTCTTTTGCAAACACTTTCACTGGTACGCGCGCCAAGTCTCTGAACCAGAGAGAAGCACTGATTTGACATTAGCGTTGAAAATTCAGATACCTTTCTTTATGCTTAGCGCAGTCTAGCCTGTTTTATGAGTTCACAAATTCGTCCTAAACCCGGAAGGAGAGGAAATGTTGACCATCAGGCTAGTGACCTTACCCTGTAAAATCAATCCAATCATCATGCAAACTTCTAAGCACAAAACTTTTTCATTCTTCTCGTTCCTAGCAGAACACAGGGCTTCAAGCTAGAGGTTTGAAGTTTCGATAGCAGTGGTGTTTATGGTTTGGGGCTGCTAGCCTCATGCCCAACCTTCCCTCTTTGCCAGTCTTATTACCTACCGGCTTAGTGAGGTATATATATAGGCAACTAATTTGTCCTGTTAAATCAATTCTCTAACACAACATGGCTTTCTCCGACAACTCAAATGGGAACAATAATTTTACGATCTCTTTAATGCCAGAGTTGTACTCAAGAGCTGAATTAAATTTCAATGAGGTGACTGACTGCTTCTGCTGCTACATATGCCTGGATAGCACCACCAGCATTTGTCCTAGTCAGGTAATCAACCTGATCATAGTTTGTTAACAACGGGATCATTATTCTTTGCTTATCGCACCAGCTTAAACACGATTCGAATTAACTGACTAGTTGGAATAATATACTATACAAATGTTCGCTATGTCAAAATTCTCCTATGAGAGTGTTGCTGAAGGTACGATACGTAAAGATCCTTCGTAAGAGAATGAAATGCTACGATAAGGTCCTCCAAAATATGTAAACGTTGCCTGAACTTTCTGTTCTGTTGATGATGATGTTATAAGCACTGCTGACTTGTGGGTTCGGTACTAATACTAATGATCGCTGATTATTTCTGCCTGCATCTACTCCCCGATCCAAGTGAAGACAGACAGATTCGTGCCGGTGAGAACACTTCGACCTCATTTTACAAACACATTATACACAAATATTACATACCTTGTGAAGTTAAGCTAACAAATAACCAACTATATCAGTTGCACAATATCGGACTTCCAAGTTATCCAATAACATTGTAGTAAATATTCTGCCTCGGTCCAATGGTTTCAACTGTGTAATCCGGCTGGCTTAATCTTATAAAAGCCCGTTCTAGCTTATACGTGCTTTCTGAAGCTGAGTATAGCCGCTTTCTACCCCTTTCACTGGTGGTGCAAAAGACCAGGTTCCAAAGACACCCATCCGAAGTTAACTGGTGGTGACAATTAGCCACAGATTTATGCCTCAATGGAAATACTATTTATTTAACACACACACACACTTCCTGACTAGGTATGAGTGACACATACCCTAGTCATCCCAAACAACACGGCTTTACAACTCAATTAATTGATTTGTATTAACTTCAATAACACTCACCATATTATACCAGTTAACACGGGAGATAGAATGCTAAGACAAGTAGCCCTTCCCGTATCTTCAAATTTCAATGATCATGTCTTACAGCTATAAGGAAGGAGAGAGCGAACTAATTCCTGTGCAGTTCATATGTCCTCTGATCGGTAGGCGGATATGAAAGTCTACTCCAAAGTTGACGTAAGTTGGCAAACACCACATGAGCCTTTTGTATCCCCCTTGGGATTTCGTCAGTAATCAGTTCATTATGTCTGGTGGAACTTCCCGATGGAGTGGCCAGCACGCTGTCATTATATTCCCTATCTTTTAAATAGGAAAGGGTCCAGACTAGTCCTGCAGCAGCACCTTACACCTAACAATGGCGAGTCGCATACCAAACATGCTAAAGTTTCCACACAAGACGTTCAGAACTCTCCACTTTCTCAGTCCCTTCACTTACAAAAACATTATTTGCATACTTTAAGTCAAGGAGACTATTTCCTTTTAACAAGACAATCTCTAATTCGCTAAAGTTTACTACGATCACATCCATTAGTACATCAATGACGCGATAAAGTATGAACGGAGACAATGGGCAATTCCGACGGACACCACTTATTGTCACCACTTCAGAAAATAACTACTCATAAGTTCTTAAATGACTGCGTCAATTTAGGCTGCATACTTCCAAACAAGCACACATAGAAAAGAATAAAAGTATTACCAAAACCGATAAATGTCAACGGTAGTAAAAGGACAGCTTATTGAGGATTAATGGTGTTCAGGACTTCGACAAAGAATAAACGTCTCTGTACCATTGTTAATGAACATAGGATCTTTAACCACTGATTCTTAGACATTCTACTCATCCCTACATGACTCAGACCAATGATTCAAGACCTCACGAGTTGATTTTATGTTTCAACCTGACCAACTTTTCCAATCTGATCCTAGTTTAGCTACGTGAAGGCATCAGTGATCAAAACCCTGTGACCCTATCATGACTTCTACTCTCATCAGCTACTTCGCAGAATAAATATGACCACAAAAAACAACTGTACAGACAACATGCATTTGATGACCACTTGAATATGCCACCAGCAAAGACTATGCAAGTTGATAAATGCTACGTAAGCCGATATTCAACCACTTCTTTATGGGTGATGCAGCCTTTTAAGCGAAGCAGTCAGTCCATTAAGATTCTCATTCTATATCCTTAAACTCGAAGTCGATGCAGACTAAGTCAGTTGTACTATCTTATACCTACCAGTGGTATTTCACATACCGAACATATCTCCGTGTCCTGTAATTTCACAATCTCGCCGCCTATATTGTCTGAACAAACTCGACCATTGAGGCTTTCCGTTGACTAATTTCTGAAACGTTGAAGGTAAACTTCCGTCAGTTGATAGTAAAACCGAATGAGTGTTGGCTACCATTCCAAACCTCTCCTCAGATTCTCATACGGATGAGTGAGATAGAGCAAAATACATTACGAGAATAACAGTTCTTCCCTATATTCTCCTAAAAATGCGAACACTATGCTTAAATGAAACTTTGAATCACTTAAGATGATGATAACTGGACTAAAATGATCACACTTGGTTTTGAGGACACCCACATTCACCAAGTATAATTACTTGTGTAAATATCTCACAAACCTTAGATATACATAACAAATAACCTTTATAAACAAGACAAATCGTAACCACATTATTTCCAAAGAATGAAAGATAACATTATCCGGAGAATTAATACTGGATCATACTTGTCATAAACCAAACTGTACCTACGTCGACAAAACAACAGCTTTGAAAATACTATTTTACGTGCTTCATACAGTCAATGACACCTTACTGCACAGGCAAACATAGAAATTCTATGCAACTATAATGCAATAACACGTTCTATCATCAATCTGCACAAACGTGACAACCGTTGGACGAACCGTGCTGAAATCTTCAGCGATAGACACACAGACTCCGACCGCAAATGTACCTACATCCTATAATCTCGAGGAACTTTTCTTGTTTTACAAATTAAATAGACCATCATTATTTTTTAAAACTATATTAGCTAAGCAATTCCAACAATACTTTTCGACGTTAAGAGAACAGACTTCCTGAAATATCTGTTTCTTTACAGAGACGTTTAGGTAAAACAAGGTAAATAATAAGGTTAAATTAGATTTTATATGGCAGCATGTTGTTTTCGACTTCTCTGTCCCATTTTTCTACCTATTATACTCAATTACAGACTGTAGCAACACTTACCCATGTTGACGGACATGCTAATTTAGCTGCGTGTAGAAAATAGTTGCAAGGCTTGTAGTCTTCCCCATACACCTTTTTACATCGGTGAAAGTCCACGTAGTTTTGTCTACAAGTACTTTAGAAAATACTCAAAGTGGGTCAAATCATGCATACGGTGTCTGGTTCGTATTTGGGAATCTAGGATCACGAGGAAGGTATTTAAGCCACGAGAAGTCTCCCTGTTTTTACTATTAGAACCTGTTAGGCATTAATTACCGTTTCTAATGACTCCCGCGACTTTGCTTTATACTCCTCAAAGTTGTTCATTCTCAAAATCCCGCGAGTGGCCCGAAATTTGTATTACCTTCCAATGACTCAACATTTGATTTGTGAATCTGTCACCATAAGACGAATATCATCGTCTTTGTATGGACTTAGAATAAATCAAATATCCGTGACGCTTGCTCAATATACATAGCAGTCCACTGTGGTTAGTTATGGGTCAGTTTATGGGATTCAGTACATTCAGATTCAGATGAAAAGGATAGAAGGATCTTGTGGCGTGTGTTAATCTTTGGAAAATATATCTGTGGTGATTGACAATTTCTATCTCTGTATTGTTTAAAATACTTACTGTTGACTGTTGATATGTTTCATATATGAATTGCATAATAATTCCGCTAAATACAAATTCCTGACTTCTGCCCTCTCTGTGTTTTGTTTGGATTCGTGTAATTCGGTCATCTCGAAATACTAATATTCCAAGTACAATAAATTACTACAAATTGGCGTCGCGAGCAGGATCTAAATAACCTGGGAAAACTTCCTATAAATGCTACTCCGCGAGAGATTGCTGATTATTTGGAATGCTTCGATGCATAATGCATTGCAAAGAATGTTCGGGATGACAAAATACCAGCACACTTCATTACTACTATTGGACCAGATGCATATAGCCTGGTGAAGAATCTGGCGTTTCCAGATAAACCCATTTCTCTGCCATATGCTAAGCTCCGTGAACTTCTTATAGATCACTTCCATATAACTACTTTTGAGACCAGAGAGAGGGCTCAGTTCAATAAACTGGTTCGTGTTCCCAACCAGAAGATTCGAGACTTTATTCTGCAACTCCAAATACAAGCTTCAAAGTGTAATTTTGGAGATCAGCTGCATACTCAACTACGTGATCGTCTAATTGCTGGAATCAATATTCCTAAATTAGAGAAGAAGTTAATTCAGATTCCTTCTTGTACTTTTCAAACTGCTAAAGATTTATGTATTACATATGAAGATGTCAATCATGAATACTCTGCTCCCACTACGTCAATGTCTGATGTTATGCTTTCTAAAGTCGAAAATACAAGTGGTCATGGGAAGCAATCCAAACTGCCGTCCACAGGTAATAGAATGCAGCGAGAGATCAAAAACATTAAACCGTGTTTATCCTGTGGAAAGTTACATCTACGAAGTACTTGCTGTTTTCGGGGTGCTAAGTGCTATAAATGTGGTAAAGTTGGACACATCAAGACTGTTTGCAGAAGTTCGAATACTTATGTTGCTCAACATTCTTATAATTCTCCCAATCCGTCTAGTAAAATGGAGTCAATGTGTCTTTCAACCTTTCAAAATACTCAATGTCATCCAATGAAAACCTCCACTACAAGTTCAGCAACTCAAGTGTCAACTGTTTTCAAAAATGAGGTAGCTGAGTTACAATGTGAACTGTCGAAAACACGAAAAGACCTGAATGAGATGAGAGAGCAACTGATTAAAATGGAGGAATTACTGCATATGCATAGACTGCGTCTGTCGAATGCAGAGCATACATGTACCCGTGAAAGTCCTGCAAAACTTTTCAAATCTCGAATTCTCAAAAAGCATCTGATGTCCACGACTTCTAATGTACATTATTACAAAGGTAATAACTATAGACCTTCTGTTGGAATTATACTACAAAAAATGGGAAATCGAGTGGTGAAGATATTAGACATCAAAGATCACTCAGTTCATAACGGACACCTGGACAAAGTGACAATAAATGAAGTAGGTCGTTCCAATTATAATATTATTGATTCCGCTAATAATCCTGATTTTGTAGATAATTCAGAAATAAGTCCAGATAATACTGATGAAAATAATATCACAGAATCAGTTAGGTCGAAGCTACTTGCAAACAAACCGAGACATCGTTATGAATACGCGAGGAGATATTCGAGGTGTGGCGGATGTGGTGATTGACAATTTCTATCTCTGTATTGTTTAAAATACTTACTGTTGACTGTTGATATGTTTCATATATGAATTGCATAATAATTCCGCTAAATACAAATTCCTGACTTCTGCCCTCTCTGTGTTTTGTTTGGATTCGTGTAATTCGGTCATCTCGAAATACTAATATTCAAAGTACAATAAATTACTACAATATCTCTGTAGAGATCTAACTTCCCTTTGTAAGCGTTCACCGATGGAACTGATACTAGTGAATCAGGTAAGGAGTTCCAGTCGCTGACCACTCTGTGAGAGAATCTAAATTCTACACGCATTTTGTTCGACCTCGGCTTGAGCAACTTCTTGCTGTAACCTCGTACATGTATCCTAGAAGAGAAGAAAATTTTAGAAAGGCCAATTCCTAAATCACCTTTAACTGTACGGTATGCTTAAATTCTATGCTAAATTCTTCCTTAGGTATGATAACGGGAAGAGATTTAAATACTTCATCCTATTATCATAGGGAAGGTGTGAGATACCACTAACTAATTTTGTCCCTACTCTCTGTCTCCTTTTTGAAGCATGGACTCGCCGCTTGTATGCAGTGTTCTAGATTAGGCCTGACATACGTTGCGTAGAGCATCTGGAACATGCCCTCATCTAATCATTTGAAAACCCTTCGAAGTGCCCATAGCATTCGGAAAGCCTTAGCTGCGGCTGCATTGCAATTTGCAGTTGTTTTCAAATCATTGATGACAATGATTCCTAGGTCCTTCTATTCGTTAACATCATATAGTTCTGCGTCCCCTAGGGAGTATGACGTATAAGATTTCTGACCTAAGTGCATTACCGCGCTTTTCCTAGCGTTCACCTTTAAACTCCATTGGCTTCACCACTCAGCTAATTTATCTAAATCAGTTCGTAGGGCCTACCTATCCTCGTTGTTATTTACAGTTTTCTTAATGTCGTCTGCAAATACTAATGAAGATGAAGTAAGAATCCCTGGTAATTCGTTAACGTATAATAGGAATAGCAAGCAGCTTAATAGAGTTCCCTGGGGCACTCTACTGGATACTGCTTTCCATCCTGATAGTACACCGTTAACTCTAACGGTCTGCCTTCTATCCATTAGGTAATATATAAACCACTCACGCAGGCACTGGTCTATTCCGAAACTCTTAAGTTTACTAAGGAGACCTAAGTGGGATACTTCGTCAAATGTCCTGCTAAGATCGATAAAAACCACGTCAAACAGAAGCTTTTTATCTCTGGCCTCAACCCAGTCTTCCCTAACCAATAGTAGTGTCAATGCAGTTGAAGATTGAACGATCAATTCATGGTTGTTTGTTCAAAACCAACTTCCCCAATTTTCGCGGAGGCATCAATACGACAGTCATCGTCCCATCGGTCGCTGTTCAGAAAGAAGTCAGCAGTAAACCATCAGAAGTAATATTGTGATTTATTATTGTAATATTTGTTCACAGACCCTAGTAAAAACATTATTTTTATATGTTGGTGTAACAATAAAGAATCCTCGAGTCACCAATCGGTCTTTTGGTTTTTTCGTCCGTTATAACTAAGCGTTTCTGAAAAACTGCAAGGAACAGCGTGGGCCCGAGCGTAGCAAGAGCTGGGCATTAACGGTTTATGAGACGTGGCTGACAAGTAGCTTTGTCAGGCAGGAGAGTTCTGGTCGGAATCCATGCTGTTTCACAGCCTGCAAGCCATGTTTTTCAACATAAGCTAATAGATGATTCCTTATAATAGTTTCCGATACCGTTGCTATAATGCATGTCAGACTTAACGGCGGGTGGTTAGATACCAATTGCCTGCCCCCCTCTTTGAAAATAGGGCTTATAATGGCATCCTTCCAGTCCCTGGGTAGCTTAGGGTAGCCTGGGTCAGGGACATTTGGAAAATCTCCTTAAGTGGGATACATACATTATATCCGCCAAGGAAATTAACAGTTTACGGTGAAGTCCATCAGGCCCAGGTGATTTACCTGGCTTCAGTTTAGACAGTAGTTTGAGGACCTTTGTGGGCTCTAACACTACTGAGAACATCTGAGCAGCGATGGCAGTGACCCCGCCATATACCTGGGTGATACTATCAGACGAGGAGCCGTCACAGAGGTATTCAGAGAGGTCTTCAGCGTTTCCTTTGTCCGACTCAGCCGCTTCTCCACTAATGGTTATAAGTGGCGGTATACCATTGCTAGTTTTAGTCCTACGTTTAATATACGAATATAGCCTCTTCGGGTAATGAACAGAATCCAGTACCAGCCGCCCCTCGTACTCTATACGACTCTTATTAATCACATTCAGAGACTTCGAATTTCGCGGTAGTCTTTCTGGAAATTTTCCCTTCCTGTCATAATAAATTGGTCCCACAAGTTCTTCCTTCTCTTAATAGCCTCCATATTTCACTAGTAATCCAAGGTGGCTTATGTGATAGCTGTCGAGGAGTGTACCAAGGTACAAAAGGTGAAGTGACACAATCTAGTGTATTGCTCAATCCCACCCAAGCTTCTTCGATAAACCAGCTTGTATCAACTGACCCTTCATCTGCAGTTGCTGCGTGCCGGTTTCCCGATATATCCGCTTTCCAAATGTTTAGACTAGCAGATGTTGCCCTGTGTATGAGAGTATGAATCCTAAACGTAAAAGCAATAACTATGTAATCACTGCTGCCAAGCGGTGGAAGGCACCTAGTGTTACCAACGTCCTCCTTCTTGTATGCTAATACCAACAGATATTCTTTGAAAAGTTTAAACTGAAATTTTCCTTCTCGATAACCAGTAAGAAATCTCATTCGGTTCCCCTAATTTCCCAGTTTTAACCTCAACAAGGGCTCGAAAATCTCATAGCATTCAAGTGAGAACAGCAGTCAAATGAATGCATAATTTTCCGAAATAATTGCTGAATGACCACAAGGCGACTGGAGTACATTTCTGGTGACAAGAAGTCACCTCCAAAAGACGAGTCTGTTTTATGGTCTACCCTTCACTGGACACACACTTTCATCCATCTCACATAAATTTCAACGTTACGAGGCCTACGAAGCTCGATGAAAACTCAGATTCGATGTATCATCTATCATCATCCTGCTGAAAAATTGCT